AAATAACCTGATGGTGTTCAGGGCAGGCCACCCCAAGATATGACCCTTTGACCTGTGGAATAGTTTGAGTGAAAGGCTATTGAGACCCCGCAGGCTGAAGAGAAACTTGTAACTCTCCCTTAAAGGAAGTAGATTGGAGGCCTTGCCCGTAATAAGTGTTATTACTAGAAATAAGTTTTTGTGACTACCTGTATAGTAGGTCAAACCTCTAATTACCGCACATTTGCTCTACTCGTTGTTCCTTGAATTACTCTCCTCCCCATTGAAGCCCCAGGCCCCTATCCCATTTCTTGGCTCAAGATGACATAAATACCTCATTTTACCTTTCTGTCTCTGACTCTCTCGTGTATGTGGGGTTCCTGTGCATACGTAATAAGTTGGTTTTTCTCCTATTAACCTGTCTTATGTCATTTTAATGATTCAACCAGCCCTAAGAACCAAGAGGGGAAGGGAAGGAATTTTCCCCTCCCCCACAAGCCAAAATCAGAAATAAAAGCGAGGACATTACTACTGATTTTACAGAAATAAAAAGCATTATAAGAGAGTACTATGAACAGCTGTACACCAACAAATTTGATAATCCAGATGAAGTGGAAAAATTCTTAGAAACACAAGACCTATCAAGACTAAATCATGAAGCAACAGAAAATCTGATAGACACGTACAGTGGGCCCTCCGTATCTCGGGCCCCACAGCCAAGGATCGAAAGGCCTACCATGGCTGCATCTGTAGTGAACGTGTATAGGCTTTTTGCTTGTCACCATCCCCCACACAATACAGTATAACAACTATTTCCACAGCAGTTACGTTATATCAGCTCTTATAAGTACTCTGGAGATGATGTCAGGGACACGGGAGGATATGCGTAGGTCGTGTGCAAACACTACGCCCTTCTATATAAGGGGCTTGAGCATCGCAGAGTTTGGTACCAGGAGGGGCCCTGGAACTGATCCCCCTGCATACCAGGGATGACCGGAACTAGTAAGGAGAAGGATCGGTGATCAAACACCTCCCAAGAAAGCAAGCCCAGGACTGGGTGCCTTCACTGGTGATTCTGATGAGGATCAAGGCTGCCCCAGGGAGAGAAGCCCAAGGCATCCTGGCCTACATATGGATCCGTACCACCCTCCGGGAGGCATAGGACCTCCTGACCTGATTCGTATCCAAAGTTATACGACCACCCGCTAACCAGACCCCACCTGCACTGGCACTATTTTAATGACTTTTTTTTTTAGAATGATTAAATTTTTTTTTATTAAGATTATGATAGTTTACAACCTTGTGAAATTTCAGTTGTACCTCATTGTTAGTCATGTTGTGGGTACACCACTTCATCCTTTGTGCCCTCCCCCCACCCCCCCTTTCCCCTGGTAACCACCAATCAGTTCTCCTTGTCTATATGTTAACTTCCACCTATGAGTGGAGTCATATAGAGTTCGTCTTTCTCTGTCTGGCTTATTTCGCTTAACATAATACCCTCAAGGTCCATCCATGTTGTTGCAAATGGGATGATTTTGTCCTTTTTTATGGCTGAGTAGTATTCCATTGTGTATATATACCATATCTTCTTTATCCAATCATCAGTTGCTGGGCACTTAGGTTGGTTCCACATCTTGGCTATTGTAAATAATGCTGCAATGAACATAGGGGTGCATGGGACTCTTGGAATTGCTGATTTCAGGTTCTTAGGATAGATACCCAGTAGTGGGATGGCTGGGTCATAAGGTATTTCTATTTTTAACTTTTTGAGAAATCTCCATACTGTTTTCCATAGTGGCTGCACCAGATTGCATTCCCACCAACAATGTATGAGGGTTCCTTTTTCTCCACAACCTCTCCAACATTTGTCACTCTTGATTTTGGATATTTTTGCCAATCTAACTGGTGTAAGGTGATATCTTAGTGTAGTTTTGATTTGCATTTCCCTGATGATTAGTGATGATGAGCGTCTTTTCATGTGTCTATTGGCCATTCTTATATCTTCTTTGGAGAAATGTCTGTTCATGTCCCCTGCCCATTTTTTGATCAGGTTGTTTGATTTTTTGTTGTTGAACTGTGTGAGTTCTTTATATATTATGGAGATTAACCCTTTGTCAGATAAGTAGCTTGTAAATATTTTTTCCCAATTAGTGGGCTGTTTTTTTGTTTCAATCCTGTTTTCCCTTGCCTTGAAGAAGCTCTTTAGTCTGATGAAGTCCCATTTGTTTATTCTTTCTATTGTTTCCCTCATCTGAGGAGTTATGGTGTCCGAAAAGATTCTTTTGAAACTGATGTCAAAGAGTGTACTGCCTAGCATTCTCTTCTAGAAGACTTATTGTTTCAGACCTAATCTTTAGGTCTTTGATTCATTTTGAGTTTATTTTGGTGAATGGTGAAAAAGAATGGTCAATTTTCATTCTTTTACATGTGGCTGTCCAGTTTTCCCAGCACCATTTGTTGAAGAGACTTTCTTTCCTCCATTGTAGGCCCTCAGCTCCTTTGTCGAAGATTAGCTGTCCATAGATGTGTGGTTTTATTTCCGGGCTTTCAATTCTGTTCCATTGATCTGTGCACCTGTTTTTGTACTAGTACCATGCTGTTTTGATTACTGTAGCTTTGTAGTATGTTTTGAAATCAGGGATTGTGATGCCTCCAGCTTTGTTCTTCTTACTCAGGATTGCTTTAGCAATTCGGGGTCTTTTGTTTCCCCATATGAATTTTAGGATTCTTTGGTCTATTTCTGTAAAGAATGTCATTGGGATTCTGATTGGGATAGCGTTGAACCTGTAGATTGCTTTAGGTAGTATGGACATTTTAACTATGTTTATTCTTCCAATCCACGTGCATGGAATGTCTTTCCATCTCTTTATGTCGTCGTCAGTTTCTTTCAAGAAAGTCTTGCAGTTCTCGTTGTATAGATCTTTCACTTCCTTGGTTAAATTTATCCCAAGGTATTTTATTCTTTTTGTTGCGATCGTGAATGGGATTGAGTTCTTGAGTTCTTTTTCTGTTAGTTCATTGTTAGCATATAGGAATGCTACTGATTTATGTATGTTGATTTTACACCCTGCAACTTTGCTGTAGTTGTTGATTGTTTCTAATAGTTTTTCTATGGATTCTTTGGGGTTTTCTATATATAAGATCATGTCGTCTGCAAACAGTGAGAGTTTTACTTCTTCATTGCCTATTTGGATTCCTTTTATTTCTTTTTCCTGCTGAATTGCTCTGGCCAACACCTCTGGTACTATGTTAAATAGGAGTGGTGAAAGTGGGCACCCTTGTCTTGTTCCTGTTCTCAGAGGGATGGCTTTCAGTTTTTGTCCGTTGAGTATGATGTTGGCTGTGGGTTTGTCATATATGGCCTTTATTATGTTGAGGTACTTTCCTTCCATACCCATTTTATTGAGGGTTTTTATCATAAATGGATGTTGGATCTTGTCGAATGCTTTCTCTGCATCTATTGAGATGATCATGTGGTTTTTGTTTCTCATTTTGTTAATGTAGTGTATCATGTTGATTGACTTGCGGATGTTGAACCATCCCTGTGTCCCTGGTATAAATCCCACTTGATCATGGTGTATAATCTTTTTGATGTATTGCTGTATTTGGTTTGCCAGAATTTTGTTGAGGATTTTTGCATCTATGTTCATCAGTGATATCGGCCTGTAGTTCTCCTTCTTTGTGTTGTCCTTGTCAGGTTTGGGGATCAGAGTGATGTTGGCTTCATAGAATGTGTTAGGGAGTACTCCATCTTTCTCAATTTTCTGGAATAGTTTGAGAAGGATAGGTATTAAACCTTCTTTGAATGTTTGGTAGAATTCTCCAGAGAAGCCGTCTGGTCCTGGACTCTTATTTTGGGGGAGGTTTTTGACTACTGTTTCTATTTCTTTACTTGTGATTGGTCTATTCAGATTCTCTATTTATTCCTGATTCAGTTTGGGGAGGTTGTAAGAGTCTAGGAATTTGTCCATTTCTTCTAGGTTGTTCAATTTGTTGGCATATAGTTTTTCATAGTATTCTCTTATGATCCCTTGTATTTCTTTGGTATCCATTGTGATTTCTCCTCTCTTATGCCTAATTTTATTTATTTGAGACTTCTCTCTTTTTTTCTTAGTGAGTCTTGCTAAGGGTTTGTCGATTTTGTTAATTTTTTCGAAGAACCAACTCTTTGTTTCATTGATCCTTTCTACTGTCTTTTTTGTTTCAATATCATTTATTTCTGCTCTAATTTTTAATGATTTTTAACATGATCCTTCCTTTGTCCTGTAAAGAAATAACTCACATATCTATGCCTTATAAATTTAGCGCTACCCTCAACCCATTGCAGTTCTCACTGTCCCTGGGTCCTGTCCCCCTGTTATTCTGGGAGTAAAGAAGCACTACCACGAGACCTTGAGTCTGAGAAATCTCTCTTTCGACTCCTCGGCTCACTGAGCCCGCATCAGTTCTATCAAACTTTTAAAAAGGAATAAACATTCATGCTCCTCAAACTCTTCCGAACACTGAAGAGGAGGGGACACTTCTGAATTCACTCTGTGAGGCCAGCGTTACCCTGACACCAAGGGCAGACAAAGGACACACAGAGGGGTGGGGGTGCATGGAGGACACCAGGAGAGGACTGGGACTGGGAGCCAGAGAAGGGAAAGGGGACAGACAGGACCAACATTGACAGGTCTCAGTTTTACAGCTCTGAGGAGGGGGCCGGCGGCCTCAGAGAGGCCTCTGAAGGGCGATTGGAAACTGGAGACCGCCGAGCTTCCTCCTGGGATCTCCCCAAAGCAACCTCCTGGGATCTCCCCAAGGCAACCGCTCCTCAGTGAGAAGGAAGCAGGATTTCTGCCAATCAGCCCCTCCCAGCAGGCCCGGAGTTCACGCCCGCCCTCCTGGCCAGTGACTAACGACTAATGGTCCCGGGTAGAGTCTGACCACTAGAATCCTTGCAAACGGCAGAGACACACAGCCCAGCACCCGCCCTCCCCCAGTTCTCACGGGTGGGGCACAAGGGTGCAAGGGGATATATTCTGAGCCACTGAGGAAGTGGCTCCAGATGCTGGTTTCCAGAGTGTAGGCTGAAGATAGCAGGTGACTCAAGGTGCGAGAGCCATCTGGCTGGCACAGGGGGCTGGGGGAGGCCTGCAGAGGGGTCAGCTATGAAGGAACAGGGTGTGGGGAGGAGGGTAGGAGCCTGAACCTGGAGCACCCTAAAGGGGCCCACTGGAATTGTGCCATCTCCAGGAGCCATGAAAGGCATCCATCTGGTCCTGCTGGCCGTGCTGCTGTGCTCCCAGCAAGGTGAGTCCCAGGGAACCCGGCAGGGACCTGTCCTGGGGGCATGGGGCGGCATCCCCTGTGAGAGGCTGTGTGTGAGCATGTGGGGAGCTGTCTTCCAGAACCCCAGAAGGCGGGAAAGGGCCACAGTTCCTATGCAGGGGCCTGGAGGCCACGCTCCAATGTGGGCTGTGGCTGTGGTCCGTGGGGGTCTAAACCCAGCTTCCTGCTGTTGGAGCTTGGTTGTGTCCCTGCCAAACCCCAGCCCTGAGCCTGCAGTGCTACAACTGCACTGAAGAAGAGGACGTCAGCAAGTGCCAGACCACCATCTCATGTGACTCCACACCGAGCATCTGCTATAAGGGCGGCAGGACCTTGACCAAGACCAGTGGTGAGTTCCCAGCATCCAGAATGTGGGGGTGGGTTCAGGGAGCTCTGCTCTGAGGCTCACCCTGGCCTCGTGGAAGGAGTATGAGTGTGGCAGGGGCCAGTGTCCGTGTCACCTGGGCCCTCACTGGCCTGCCTCAGTGTCCCCATGTGTTCACAGAGGGGCTAGCCTCCAGAGGCTGTGGGGGCTTGGTGGGGCGGGACGGGCCTCCCAGCAGAGGAATGGGGCGCCCAGCAGCCCTGGGAAGAGGGCGATGAGGGACAACCCCAGAGGTCAGAGGGAACTGGGGGGCCTCCAAGCCAGCCATCTCCTTTCTTGCCCACAGGGCAGGTAGTCAAGTTACATTCTAAGGGTTGTGGCTCTTCCTGCGATGACGTTTATGACATGATGGAGCAGCTGGTGGAGAAGATGGTTTCAGAGGACAGGTCTAAGTTAGAACTGTGGGCTCCGGACTGCTGTGGAAAGGACCTCTGCAACAGGGTGGCCCAGGTGGGGCGCAGCCTCTGGATCCTGGCCGGGGGGCTCCTGCTCAGCCTGCGGCCTGCCCTCCTCTGGGCCCTGCTGTGAGGACCCTTGGAACCCAGACACCAAGGAGGATCGCAGTTCCTGGTGGCCTGCACAACAGCTCCCACCTCAAGCTCGCTCACATGCACACATATGTGTACACTCACACACCTCACACACGTGCACATGCACACGTGTACACACATGCACATGCGGGCACACGTGTGCACATACTTTCACGCACATGCGCTCACACACATGCACACATTGCTCAGACCCGTGAGTTCTCACAAACAGGCTATGCTTGGACTCCACCTCCTGCTACACCTGGGACCCAGAGGCCCAGGGAAGGAGGTGGGCAGCATCCACCCTCGGGTGACCCACGGCCACTCCTGCCCTCCCACCTGGCCAGCCCCAGCCTCAGGTGCCCAGTGCCCTGCTATGCCAACAGGTGTGTCACACTTTGCAAACACCATCAATCAACCACAGACTCAAGATGCAGAGACTGCCGAGCCCCGGCTGGACAGGGGCTGCTAGGAGAGCGGAGCCCACAGCCCCTCCAGCGGGTCCTCTGCAGAGCGCCCACGGCAGTCAGTAGACAATAAATGCTCTTCAGCCCCTCCTGTTCTTCACATGCCATTCGGCCCCACGGTGGGGAGGTCGGGGGGAGTTCTGTGGGGGTCTCTGCCACCTGCCTCCGAGGAAGCCTCTCCTGCAGCCCGGTGCTCCCTCGGCCACGAGCTCTGATGGCCAGGGGGCTAGGGGCAGGGGCAGATCCTGGAGGGGCCAGCTTCGCACACCAGGGGGTGGCCCCCACTGCCCCCCATGAAGCATTTGCTCTGACGCACACTCCCTACTCTCTGAGCCCCTGCTGGGAGCCACACCAGGACCCTCCATGGGGGGCATCTGTCCAGGGCCCATGTGGGGGCTGCACTGCCAGGACACCCTCAGCAGAGGTGGTGGTGGTGGCAGGGGAGGGGGCCTGGCTGCTTCCTTCCCTCCATCATCTCCAGCATCTTTCACACTTTCTTCCCCTCTGAGCACCCGTCCCCTAGGGTGACCCTGAAGCTCAGGGGCTCCCTGACCCCACAGGACCCTGCTCCTCCCAGTGGGACTGTGGTGACCAGAGCTTTGTCTCCTCCCTAGGTCCCCCAGGCACATCTTCCAGAGAGAAGCCCCTCCCTCCCTCATTACAGCCGCCCTTGCCCGGGAACTCTGAGTGTGGCTCTGGGAATCCCATAGGGATCGCTATGGTGGGGTCGGCGGGGCCTCGGAGACCAGGGCTGGCCCTTCCCTTCACAGGTGGGGAAACTAAGGCACGGGGAGGAGTCAAGTGCCTGAGTCTCATGCCCATCTGGGGCAGAGACAAAGAGCCTGTGGTGCTGCCCCCGTAGGTCTGTCCAGCGGCTTGGGTGTGACTCCCGCACATCCACCTCATTTTCCCTCGTAGAGGCCACGTGAGCAGAGGGACCAAAGTCCCCTCCCGCCGGTCCCTTCACCACCTGAGCTGGAGAGAAGGGGCAACTCAGCCTCAACCCCCGAACAAGGGTGCTGGCTCCTTTCCAGGCTTTGGGACAGTCTGGGAGGGAGTGCAGGCCCTGGGCGGGGGACACATCCGCCCCACAGGATTGGGTCCTCCCGCCAGGCAGGGGCTGGGAGGCCTGGAAATCTGGAAGCCTTTCCTCCAGCACCCCTCCTTCCTCCATCTCCCTTGCCCCAACTCAGCCCCCGGCTGCCAGTGGGCCATGACATCTCCCACCCCACCCAGTGCAACGGGGGAAGGTCCGGGGGCGGCTGTGTATCGGGGGTAGGTGGAGTTTCATGGGCAGAGGGGTTTGAAGACTCCACGGATACTGGGCCAGCCTTACAGGAGCCTGCACGGGCTCCCCCAGCCTGGTGGGCCAGTCCCCTGCCTCCTGACTTCACCATCCTGTCCCCTGGGTGACCTCAGGTCACAGCCCACGCCCTCTGGCCTGCCCCTGTGGCTTCAGCTCAGGTCACAGAGTCCTCCAATGTAAGGGTGCCAGAGGAAGGTTCTTGAGGCTGGGATGTGGTGTGTGCGACAAAGTGAGCAAACCTACCTGTGGGTGAGGAGCTCTCGCGAGAGCCCCTGGTGGTCCCTGAGGAGGGGCAGCCAAGTCTGAGGGGCCTCCCATGCCGGCAGACTCCTCGACCAGGAGGCTCCACGTCATCCCTTGAGACTTTTACGAAAGGTGTTTCCAAAAGCCCTTCCCACAGGCCAAGCAGTGGATTCCCCAAACCCCAATTGTGGCCAGTGTCTGAAGTCTCCTGTGAGGAAGCCAGTCCAGGGAGGGTCTGTGCCTGGCCGAGGCCCTCCCCACATGGACCCAGGGCCAGGTGACATCCCAGAGCAGCCATGGCCGTCTGCAGACCCGCGGTTTAGACCAGTGTTTTCATCCAAGCTCAGGGCTCCTTCTGGCCCCGCACATCCTATTAACAGGGCACTTTGGTTTGTGGAAATAAAATAGCGTACTCCAAGTTTGTGATTCTTCAATCATGAATGCCGTAAAAGAATCTTGGTCAACACCTTGGCCGCACTGGGGCAGGGGAGGCAGAGGGAGGAGGGGTGCTGGAAAGTGTCAGGTGAACAGCTTGGACAGGATGCGTGGGAATCTAAACCTTGAGTTCCCCGTTTGCCCAAGGGCTGGGCTGGAAACGGGCTGCCTGTGTACACACAGTCCTGGCTGGAAAGATGAATTTTCAGAAGGGGCAAATAGTTTTTCTGAAATATCAAGAGTTTGTTTCAGTGACTGGAAGCATTGCGGGTCTGTAAATTCAAGACTATGAACATCGGGCAGACACTGGACTGTGGAGAGGGGCTCCGGGCTGTGAGGGGTATTTCTCAGAGGAGCTGGTTCTCATCAACCTCGTGTCTAATCAACCACTGATTACAAAATTGCTCATCTGCATATAAGTAAATAAACCAGTATAAAAACTATGCATTTGCTCCCAGGTCAGAAATGCCATCCCTCCATCCACGAAGTCTGTGCAAGCAAAAGCCACACGGGCGTCCTTGGTAGATGAACATGACAACGGAACGTGCCAGAGCAGCCTCTTTGCTGTGTGTTTCTATAACCACCGTTTCGGGGGGTGACTGGGCTGGGAGAGGTCTCCGTTCACACCTGGGGCAGGCAGAGCTGGCTGCACACCCAGAGCGCATCTTGCTGTTTTGCAGGGTTACAGCAAGTTCAGGCAAACCTGCTTCCTGTGGAGACAGGGCAGGTTGGGTGGGGCAGGGCTGGCACAATCGAGTGAAGGGTAAACAGAGGGACGTCGTAAGACCTCCCTGCCCCCCGGAAGCCTGTGGAGGCCACCCTCTCCCCGGACAATGGGCACCTAGCAGGGGGGTGGGGAGCGGCGAGGCACCTGCTGTGGGCCACAGTATGGGGGGTAGAGGCACAGCCAGCTGAGGCCTCAGGTCCCCAGCGCCAAGCTCTGCTCATCAGAGCAGAAGGGGCCCTGGGGCGGGACCTTCCTCTGAGCTCTCCCTGCGAGGGCCCTTAAAGCACTTCTTCCCCTACACAGACACACACACAGCACACACACACACACACCCACACACACCACACATACACATATACCCAGACACACATACACCCACACAGACACACACCCTCTAAACATGTGCATGCACACCACACATGTACCCATATACAGACACACAGATACACACAGAGACACTCAGACATCCACACATGGGAACACTGTGCCCTGTTTGGAACTCACTGCTGACACTGGTCTCCTAGAGATATTCTGGAACATTCAGCTTTCCTCAGCAGGAACCACCCTCCTCCTGGAGCCTTCTTGCCACCACGCTGCCTGGAGTGCAGACAGCACCCGAGGCTGGCGAGCCCTCCTGTGACCAGGCGGCAGCCTCAAGAGTGGAAAGCGCCCCTGATGGTGGTGTCCCTCAGTCTTATTACACTAGGAGAGGACAGTGCACCCAGAGCAAGAGGATCGGGGCAGAAGCCCCCACCTGCCTAGCCTGTCCTGCAGGGGGAAAGGCAGAGGCTGGGAAGGGAGAGCCAGCCCCTGGGAAGCGATGTGCAACTCAGCACTCCAGGCCGTGGGGGCCTGGCCTCTGCCAGCCCCTCCACAGCCTCCCCTTCCTGAGTGAGCTGGGCAGTTCCAGGGGTGGCGGTGGGGGCCAGGAGTGGGTGAAGACACTGTGGTCCCCCCACTGTGAGCCAGACAGAGCTCACCCAGGACACTCAATCTACTGGGGAAGGGAGAGGGACCAGGGACTCCACTTGACAGTGCGGTGGGGCCGAAGGGACCCATGTCCTCCAGAAAGGGGCCCCCAAGCTCAGCCAAGGACAGGGGTGCTGGGAGGGAATGGGGCATGCAGAGGTCGGGGCAAGTCTGGAGGAGCAGGACCCCAGGAATTGGAGGTAGTGCATTAACCAGGCCGGCGACTGCAGCATTTGCGAGCACTTCACCGGACAGCAAACAGCCGTGTTAGAAATAGAATTAAAAAGAAATCTCCTGCCAACCAAGGAAACCTCGCCACGCAGACTGTGTTGAATCAGCATTAAACCTGGGCGTGGAGTGCCTCACAGGCAGCCCGCTAACCGCCTGCAGAGATGGGCACGACCTCAGCCTAGCATGCAGCTGGCATGGCCCCGTCCCTGTCCCCACTCACTCTGCAGGTCCAGGGAGGGGTCTGCAGGGCATGTCACACTCACAGTTCCTCCTGAATTCATCTTTTTTTTTTTTCTTTTTCCTGAGGAAGATTAGCCCTGAGCTAACATCCGTGCCCATCTTCCTCCACTTTACATGTGGGACGCCTGCCCACGCATGGCTTGATGAGTGGTGCATAGGTCCCAGCCCAGGATCCAAACCAGTGAACCCCAGGCCACCAAAACAGAACATGTGCACTTAATTGCTGTGCCACCCCACCGGGCTGGCTGCAACCCCTCCCCACTCCACCAATTCTAAAGAGATTTAAAGACATCCCAAAGGGGCAAAGAAGGAATTCACAATGACAAGCTTCCTACAGGAAGTGCTCTAAGAAAAGGAAGGCAGGACAGGCTCTTCCCTTTCTAGCCCCGGGGAAAATGACATTTTCCCCTAATTTTAATTTGTTTCCTTACACTAGGATGAACAATGAGTCACTACAGACTCTTAACTCTCTCCTCTGGTTTGTCTCACTCTGCAAGCATCTGTACTTGATTGCTGTTTATTGCCTGCCTGGTGACTCACTCATTCACTCACTCACTCACTCATTCATTCACTCACTCACTCACTCACTCTTCCATTCACTTACGCACTCACTCACTCAGCAGAGGGCTGCTGCTGCCCATGTGGTCCCAGGCCAGACCCAAAGCACAGGCACAGACTCGGTCCTCTTCTGTCACTCCGGCCTGTCTCAGCCCCTCTCTGCCTTGCTCCCTCCTGAGCGCCTCTCCCTCTCCCCATCTCCGCAAGGCCTCTCAACCTCCTGATCCAGACAGTTCCTCTCCCTGAGCCACCCTCAGAGGCACAGGGAGGCTGGCATTGACCCCCTCTGTCCACGTCTGGGTGGACACTGGTCCCTGCTCCACTGGTCCCAGGGCTCTGAGCTCTTCAAAATGGGAGGCGGTTTCTCTGGGTACGGGAGCTTCTCCAGGGAGGGTGAGGGATGGAGGAGGACACCCAGAGGCTGCCCGGCTCCTTGTTGCACCCCTCATCACACACGTGTGCACACATGCCCACACGTGCACGGCCTTCCCCTCTCAGCCCACTGGAGCAGTGGAGAACACCGAGGGTCCCCGGTGTGGGCATCTGTGGGGGGCTCCCGCGTCAGGCTACGGGGATCAACGAGGGCACCTTCACTTCACAAACTGAGATGGGCCCAGATGGTGGGGGGGGGGGGGGGATCAGAGTCCATCTTCTGCTCTTCTATGGCTCAAATCAAGTTCATTTCCATTTAACATTCAATTTCTTTCTCAACTTAATGCTTTTGTTACATAAGTAACTCTGTCACTTAACATAAGCAACTCTCTTAACTAATTTAACTGTTACTTAACTCTGTTACATAAGTTTCCCTGAAGAAAGTCCTAATAAGCCATCTGAAAAATGTCATGAACTAGAGGCTTGGGCAGTGCTTTCCAAACTGTGGGTGGTGAAATCAGTACAATGACTTAAAAAAATTTTTTTTATTGAGGTAACATTGGTTTACAACACTATATAAATTTCAGGCGTTTCGATACCTGCGCAGACTACATCTTGTTCACCACCCAAAGACAAATGACCATCCATCACCACACACCTTTCACCCTCCCCTCTCCCCTCTGGTAACCACCAAACTAATCCCGTTCTCTCTGTTTGTTCACCGCTGCTGGTTTTTATCTTCCATGTATGAATGAAATCACGCAGTATTTGGCTTTCTTTGTCTGACTTATTTCATTCAATACAATACCCTCAAAGTTCATCCATGTTGTCACAAGTGGCAAGATTTCATCTTTTTTATAGCTGAATAGTATTCCATTGTGTGTTTATATATATACACACCTCATCTCCCTTATCCATTCATCCATTGACGAGCACTTAGGTTGCTTCCAAGTCTTGGCTATTGTGAACGATGCTGCAGTGAACATAGAGGTACATATATCCTTTGGAATTAGTGTTTTTGTGTTCTTTGGATAAGTACCCGGTGATGGGATAGCTGGGTCATATGGTATTTCTATTCTTAATTTTCTGAGGAAGCTCCATACTGTTTTCCATAGCGGCCGCACCAGTTTGCACTCCCACCAGCAGTGTGAGGGCTCCCTCTCTCCACATCCTCTCCAACGCTTGTTATTTCCTGTCTTGTTAATAACAGCCATTCTGATGAGTAATGACTTTTGATTAAATTTTTAATGAAAATAAAGTAGAATGAGGTAGAACTGGATAGAATAGAAGATAGTGAGTGCCCCCCACACAGTAAGGATTTATATATATTGGTCATAACGTAAAATACATTTCTTATAGTGTATTTTGGTCAAAAACATATAAAACTGTACTCATAAGGTGTGAGCCTCCTGGAGGGAAGGGAGGGGCTCACGACCTCCCCGAGAAGTGGGAAGATTGTGGCTGGGCCAGGGTTCCAAGGTGGTAGCCTCTCCTTGACCACCATCAGCAACCAAGGCTTGGCCTCACCTAAGCATGAGTCCCACCCACGGCCCAGAGAGAAAGGTCCCCGGGATGCAGCTAGGCCTGGCTCTGGGGGTGTCAGGAACTCCAGGAAACTCCCTCCTCTTGCCAGACTCGAAGGTCACAAGATGAGTAGAAGACACACGGGGGATTGAATGTTGTTACGACAAAGACAATTTGTAAGCCATTTCCAACTTCCTTCCGTCTGTGGCATCCGGGGAGGGCCCTTCCAGAAAGAGCCTGTGTGAGGAGGGTTACAGCAGCCCGGCCCTCCTGTCGCCCCCCTGCTGCTCCCAGCCCAGCCTAGCGTGACCGCTCCAAGCCCAGGCCCGGGCCCACGCTGCCCTGCACCTTCTCGCTCTTGC